CGAGAGCGGCGGCGGGCGGCGGCGGTGAGGTTGAGGGCGGGCTCGGGCGACGGCGGTGAGGGGAGGCTCGGGCTCGGGCGACGCGACGCGACAGGAGTAGGGGAACAGGGAGAAAGGAGGACTTAGCGAAATTTTGAGCCGGGGATGGTGGTTAAGTCGAACTAGCAGTAGCGCTCGTAAGGAAAACGCGCTATAGCTTACATAAAAACGCTACTGCTAATGGAAGCAGTTACTTCTTTTGTTTATCCCAAAATCAGTAACGCTTTCTCCTGAAAAAACGCTGTAAGTCTAAGCAATGTGAAAACATCAAAAATATACATTGGTCATCATTGATCTTTTTGTGTAGAATCTAAATAGTCAACATGAATACTCACTGTACCTGTATAGGTACAGGCGAGGATTCATATTGCAGCTACAAATCATACACATATAGTTCAATGAAGATCAAGTGCTCGAGATAGATTGAGAAGTAACATATTTAAGGTGGTAAACACCTTGTTCGCTTAGCAGTATGGGACTAAATTTAATTAGTTGCGGTGATACTTAGCAGCAGCGAGTTTTTAAGAAAAACGCTGCTACTAAGTACTTTAGCAGTAGCGTGTCCCCCGGAAGGTCGCTACTACTATATCTAGCCGGGAGGCAACACCGTGGCAAATATAGTAGTAGCGCTTGTTCCGCATAGAGCGCTACTGCTACTTAGATATTAGTAGCGCTGCTCTCTGGAGCTCGCTACTGCTAATTAGCAGTAGCTTCTGTTTTTAAACCACGCTGTTGCTAAGATTCTGTGTATAAGGTTTTTCCTAGTAGTGTTAGGTTCTAAGTGTATTTTCAGTTCAAAAGGTGGTCCTCGAAAGCGAGGTTTTGAGAGGCTGTCGACAAATTAATCAAGTAGGCCATGTTCTTCTCCGTGGAGATTCAAGCCAAGCAGAAAGAAAGTCTATGCCTGCCCGGTCAAGATAAGTACACTGCTATATGCATGTCAACTTTGTAACATGCAAGGCGCAGATCTCCAGATGCAACTTGATTCGTTCTTCATGCACGTCAACTGATGCACGAAAGCGACTTGATGCGTTGTTTTTGTACATGATATCTAGCTACAAGTATGATGTCTGGGTGTGCCTATAAGTGACTATGCCTTCCCCTACTAGTAGTTCGTACGCAGTGCACACCGGCTAAGTCGATCTTCACTTTCGCAGTTTTTCGTGTGTGCGTTTTTCATCTTCTCTAATGGCTTCAGCAGGCTCAACCGGCCTCGCTCTCCAGGCGGCCGCCGTCGCTGCCATGCTCGCCATGCTGGCCCTGCCTTCGTCGGGCCGCTGTCCATCGCTGGGGCCGGCACCACCGCCACTGGCACAGGGGGCACCGCCACCCGCACCGACATCATTACCACCAGCGCCGGCGCCCGCGCCGGCACCGGTGGTATCGTGTGGGGCCTGTGCTCAATCGTTCGGGAGCTCGATCTGCAGATCGTTGTGCATGGCCTCTGTCAACGAGAAATGCCCTTGTCTGCTGGTTCAACCTCGCCTCTGCCACGAGTGCACGACCGCCGTCCACAAGTGCACGGCCAACTGCACCGGCGACAGCTGTGACTGCGGCGGCGCCGAATGCGATGCCACTTGTGCCTTATATGTTAAATGTATAGAGTGCCCGGAAAACCAAAGTAAGATGTGCCGGATCACCTGCACGGGCGGGTGCAACGGGCCGTAGCTTCTTCCGGTCGGCCATGCATGGTCAGATGTGTGTCCTTGTATGAACTACCATGGAATGCTTAATGCTTAGCAATGGACTGCTCACTAAGTATTTAAGTTTGAATAAGTTCGCAGTTGAAATACTAACAATTCTTGACTTAATGAAAACACGCTACTGCAAAAAATGATACTGTAACTAGTGGCGTGTGCAAAAAAGCCTATCACTGATAACCACATGTACTAATGACGCGCTCTTTGTCTCACACGCCACTAGTAGCAATTTCGAAAATTGAAAAAACATATGCACGTCTCATTTTTACAGAAAATGATCTTTTACACAAATGTCTTTCACAGAAAAATGATGGCAGCACATGAATACGAAAAAAAAAAATCATCGCTGGCTGCTCTCGTCGACTCGTCGTCAACACCACCCGGCTGGCGGTGGTGTACCGTTTGATGGAGTCATTGCTGGCCTTGGCATAGTCATTCGAGGAGGGGAGCCGCGTGCTCTCGATTCTGAACGGTGACATTGCTGACCAGATTCACATGGATTTCCAAACACTGCCAGATCCCGCACCGCCTCGCGTGGATCCCATGACATGCATCGGGAACGGGAAGTTGGAAAGGGTAGGGGGTGAAGCCATGTCATGTGTCCGGGCAGGAGTGGGTGCGACGCCAACGACCCTAGATCCCTCCTCCAACGCGTGTGCTCGATCACATCCACAACCACCCTCCGTATGGTCGAGCTCCATAGCTCCTCCCACGTGCGCGACCAAGCTCATGCTATGTGTCGTCGCCAGTTCTTGTTGCACGTGCCACCGCAGGGAATTGGGGGAAGGTTTCGGTGAGTGGGGAAAGGAGAAGGAATAGAGATTGGTGTGGCCAGTGTAACCTGCCCGCAGCGGCAATTTGCAAGGGTGTAGGCGACTGGACCAATGGCAACGTGCAGGAGTAAAAAAAAGGAAGGGGGCCAGTGATTGGAGCCGGGAGAAAGGAAAAGAGGAACAAAGACCAGCATGTGGATGGGTGTTTTCTTGCCATCTCACCAATTCGTGTGTCGACCTATATAGGCATCATACAATAATCCGAGGGGAGAATTTCCATCGCGTCCAACCATGTGATTTTGTTTTTTGTTGTTTCTATGGCAACTATTTCATGCATCAAATGCTATGGGAAACTTCCTTCCTTTTTTCCTTTCGTGCTGCCAAACACGGCCTTCTATTACAAATTCATGTGTTCTTGGCAACTAAAGGATCCATGTATTTTTAGAATCCTACGTGCCAAGGAGACTCCAAGTGGATTACCAAATTCATGCATTATTTCTTTGAAACTTATACCAAATGAACTCTTCCTCCGCTTTCATTCTGCTCCATTCCTTTGAAGGAAACATACGCACAATGTCGACATAGGAAAATTTCTACTATAGGATTTCCCCCACTTCTCCTTAAATATATTTTCCGCGCAAAGTTGTCTTCAAAAGTAAGGTTTCAAAATTAAGGTTTGAGAGACAATGGAGTAATCAATTAAGTAGGTGTTCTTCTCCATGGAGATCCAAGCCACACAGAAAGTCCATGAGATGATGAACCGTGCCCGGTCAAGATAAGTAGCACTGCTATATCAGCATGTCAACTTTGTAACATGCACGGCGCAGATCTCCAAATACAAATACGCACACATCAATCTCTGTGTATATGTCAACTTGTAACAGATCTCAACACGCCTTGATTCACTTTACATGTAGTCCTAGTAGTACATGATAGATAGCTATAAGTTAGTAGTAAGTATGATTTCGGGCTGTGCCTATAAATGGCCCAGCCTTGTCCTATTTCATACGCACCTCAGTGTAAGTCGATCTTCACATTTCTATCCCTCTTATTTTCCAATCAATGGCTTCAGCAGCTGGTTCAGCTGGCCTCGCTCTCAAGGTGGCCGCCGTCGCTGCCGTCCTCGCCATGCTGCTCCTACCTTCATGCGGCCGCTGTCCGTCGCTGGGGCCGGCACCACCGCCGCCAGCGCAGGCGCCACCACCGCTCGCGCCGACACCGCCGGCGCCGGCGCCGTGGAACCCACCATGCTCTCAGTCCCGGCGCCAGCAATGCTACTCGGATACGTATCCGGCATGCTATTCGGCGTGCACAACCTCCAACCCATGCACCGAATGCGAATTGCTTGGTGCTCTCTGCAGCAACTGCAGGATCGCCGCGAAAGACAAGTGCACGGCCGACTGCACCGGCGGCGGCTGTGACTGCGCCGCCGCCGCCGCCGCCAGTGCGTGCCGCACCGACTGCGGAGTGAATTATGGGCGCTGCCACAGCTGCACGACCGCCGAGACCGACAAGTGCAACGCCAACTGTACCAGCGGCGGCAGCTGTGACTGCCACGGCGCCGCCAAGAGTGCATGCCGCAACGATTGTGCCGCCGAAACATGTTACTCGTGCGCGCGCGCGCAACTGAAGAATTGCGACACCGTTTGCTCGGCCGAGTGCAACAAGTGTTTTGCGCCCTAGATAGGTTGTGTTGTGCTGGCTGGCCGAGGCTATATGCATGTACTGCATGGTCAACTGTGTATGCTTGTGTAAGCACAATAATGCTAGACCTATTAAGAATCTAGTACAAAGGATTACTTAACCTTTCAAACTAATTCTCTCTTCCCTCCGAATTTAACTACGGTGGGCCTCCTCATCCCCCTATTACTAGTCACAATCCTTCACATGGGTTTGTATGTAAAATTTTAAGTAAATCTTTGTAGATGTAGCATTACTCGTGTATGCATGTATGAGATGCTTTAATACCTTTACTAGTACTAGTAATACACATTTTGAATCTTCAATAAATTTGCAGTT